CTGAGCCCCAGTGTCTCACAGCTCTGGTAGTTAACTGGTAGTTTAACTCTTAACAGCAATTTTCTCCAAGCTATTCCTTAACCTCTTTATTCCTAGCACCAAAACACGAGACTGGTGTGTGTCCAGGACATAAAAGTCCATTTGAGAAGTGGATATTTGTTAAGATCGCTCAAATACAGATGTGAAAACTCTTCAAAGCCTGTGGCAGTCCTGGCAACTTCTATTCATATGAATATAAACCCCTGATTCTATCCAAAGCCAAATGGCTGCCTCCCTCCATCCCTTCTGCCTCTGGAACACACAGTGGCCTGCAGGGGAACAGAGCTATTTTGGTTGCCAGGCACTTTAATAATTCCTTGTGCCTGTTCTGAGAAAGACCATCTCCATCCATCATCGCTTGATGGAGCTGATATGTGTGAAAGATCAAGCAGGTTTCAGCAACAGGACTCACTCCACAAAGAGCAGAGAAGTGTCCTGCCAGCATTGCCACCTTGTGCTTATCTATTAAACATTCAACTTCCAGCAAGTTCCCACGGTAGGCAAGAAACATGAGACAGCAGCTTCCCTCACCCACAATCATGCACAGCTTAAACATGTTCCCTTCCCTCTCACTCCCATCTCTACCAGGTAACACAACCTGTGCAGCTCCACCTGCTGCAAACCACTGGGATCAGATTAAGAATCCCATTTTCATCCCTCTGCAGAGTTCACCACGGCCAAAGAGCACCGGCAGCATTGACAAGCCCTGCTCGGTCCCAGCTGCCCTGGGGAGGAGCTGTGCTGGTGCAGACCAGGGACAGCTCTGGCCTGAAGCACCTCAGCCTCCAGGCTTGGTTGTTCACCCTGCTGGGACAGCACAGTGACACTCTGACTTGCAGCCTGGGCTCAGGGAAAAGGGCTTTGAGATTGGGCATCCAGACAGGAAACACTTTTCTGTTGTTGTAGAGAAGAACCTCTAAATGGAATTTTTCAGAGACAGCAACCAGAACAAAATCCAACCCTCCTGGTACCTCAGAATTTCACAAGGGTTCAGTTGTGATCAAATCAATTATTTCCCAAGGGCAGATTTAGTGGACAAGTATATAATGTTCTATTTCACTCAGATCCCAAGCTCATCCACATCTTTCCGTGTCGGACTGTCCCTCTTCACACAGCACAGCACCACACACTGACCCAAGGAACTCTGTGATTTTATACCCCAGATAAGGATTTTGAAGCCTGTCCAAGTTTAATCACAGCCCAAGCTTTTGAGTAAATATTTCAGTGACAAAACAGAATTGTTAAACCCTTTGCTATGAACTACCGTGTTGAAAAAAAAAAACAAAACAAAACAACTTTCATCATCCACAAACCTCAATTTTCCTACCTGCAAGGGAAGGATGACAAGCTCTTGACTCCCTGGGTGTTTCTAGGATTAGACAATGTCTGCTCGACATTAATGTAGATGTTGGTATTTTGTGTTATTGCTCCTGTCACATTACAGAAAGGTCAAGGAACATATTTCATGAGTCAGAGCCTTTCCACAGCATTAGTGTAGTCCTTAGAGCTTAGCCAGGCTCTGTATTTGGATAAAGCCCACCACAATCCCACTCTTTAAAGATCCCAATGTACGTCAGAGTGGCAGCCCTTTCCTGTCACTGCCTCATCTCTGTGTTTAGGATAAGCAGCACTTGGAAGATGATGCTGAAATTAAAGCAGGGAAAGAAAACAAAGCAAAACCACACACACGGGGTGGTGGGGGTGGTAGAAAAAGGGTAAAAATAAAGGCAAATTTTCTCAGAAAAACTCAGGCCATTAGAGAACATCTAGCCAGAGTCAGAAAGCAGGGAGAGATTGTGTAAAAATGAATGAAAGGAAAAAGTAGTCTCCCAGCTCTTCTCCAGTTAAAAACTTTCAGCAGGAACCTCTTGCCAGCCCAACTACTCATGTTAAACAGCACATTTCCAAACCTCTTTCACAAAGCACCTGGAAATATTGAGGACGTTATACATCCTCCCACAAAAATACAGTTGTTGTTTTTTTTTTTCCCTGGGAAAAGCATTGATTAATTGATCCTGCAGTTCTTACCTGGAAAACTCCTGCACTCCATGAACTGAAGATGGGGCTGCAGCCTTGATTCCTAGCCCCCTGTCCCCTGGCTGGAGACATTTTCCTTGGCTCACCAGCCAGCTGGGAGGTCTGCTGCCTTGTGAACCCCCACATTTTCTGAGCTCTCTGCCACCGAGCTCAAAGTGACCCAGCCCAAAGTCCTGAAAACACTGACTTTAAACCAATCAAACTGCAGGTGGCAGGAAATTCCAACACACCGGAAGCAGGGTCAGGCCAGGCAAAAATCCCATCTGAGACTCCTCTCTCCTCACCCTTGGCCTTGAATACTACATCTCTGCATCCCTTATCTCTTGCTTTGCAACACAGATGCCCCATCTCCATTGCCTCCTCTACCACAACAGCTTTAGCACCCCAAATTACACACTGCAAACACCCTATATCCTCCAGTTCATACCACTGATCCCCAAATTACTACCATTCTTCTTCCTGTACTCTCTGCAACATCCTTCTCTTTTCTACATCTTCTCCTTTTCACCACACCACTTTCACTGCTGATCAACATCCCAAATCACAGACACCCTAAAACATAGACACCCCAAGCCTACTGCACACTGAACACCTATCTAAAGTTCTTCTCTGATGCAGATTTTCAGTGCTTTCAGCTTGTGGCAGCTGGTTCACGATGACCCACTGCTGGCAAACCACCCCACCCCTGTGCTGGTCAGGAGGACAACATCAAGGCGTGACAGGATGCCAGTTCTGTGCCTAGGGCATAAAGGGTGTTGAGGTGAAAGAGCAACGTGTTCAACACAACAGGCACAAAACATTGCACTGTGGACTGTGTGTTGCAGGGTCTGTACTCCACTTGGAGCTTCCAGACTGCTGTTCAAGGAAATTGCCATCAATGTCAGCCTCACCACCACTATTAGACATCTCATCCATGTCCAGGCCCAGCTTGAACCCATTTAACTTGTAACGGATAATGAGATAACAGCATGACATGCAGCAGCTGAAGATTATTTAAACACCCATCTGGTACCTGTTATGCAGCATACGTCCTATTGTTGTATAGGAAATATATGCCACCTCCCTCCCACATGGAAAGGAGAAGATCTATAGATGTATCTCATGCTACTCCTTCTTTTTGCAGATGAGGTAATTCTCCGTCTCTGTGCTGTTTCTAGCATATCACTTCACATTTCCCATCTGTGTTTTGGGAGATGCAGGCCCTTCCAAGCTGTTGAGACCCTGTGAAAACACACAAGAGGACCATGAAAAATTTGCTCAGGACTTCTCATCCCCTTCATAGATCAGTCAGAAAAGACTCTGCTATGAAACTAATTCACCCTTTGAGAGACAGAACATGGTACTACCCTTTGTCCCAGATTGATTCAGGGGTGACAGTCCATGTCTGTGTTTGTTGGACCATGCTGATTCTACAGAGGAGTGGTGAAATACCTGCTGAAGCCTGAGAGGTGAGCAAGGCAACCTGCTCACACCGTAATATAATAAATAAAAAGCAACCTGTCCACTGTAATCAGATGGACAGATGAGAATCTGCAGACTCCTGCTGAACAGCCTGATTTCTTTATCCAAACCCTCCACCTTTCTTTGCAGGATGACTTTGGCTGTTTTGCTGGAATGGCTCTCATAGCTCTGGCTCTCTGTGATCCCTCAGCAGCCGCGGACCGGGTTACTGTGTATCCCAAGGAATCAGGTTTCACAACACAAGTTGTCAGGTCTGCAGATGGGCGCCCACGCTTCTCTGTTTTTCTCCAACATGACTCAGTTATCTGCAAAAACTGCTCTCGCATGGACCAAACCCTGTGTCTGACGCCCCATCTAGCGTTCAGCAAGGCCAGATGCAGAGGAAAGAGGTGACTGGAAAATTCCCATCATTTTCAGCGGTACTAAACCACATTTATAAAAGTTATTTGCATCCAAGAGAGCTCGAAGAGAGCCCAGGCGACATAGAATCATGCATATCCCGCTGCCAGTCCCCGCCTCTGGACTCTCTGGGTGTCCAAGTGGAGATAGCAGCTGGAAAAGCCCTGGAAACCCAGCTCCTTCTTTGCTTGCACAGCACACTCCGGGGCTTGGAGGAGAGCTGGGCAAACCCAGGATTGAAACCCATTTCAGCTTTGGAATGGGGAGCCAGGAATCGGAGCTGTGTCCCTCTCAAGGCTCGATGACAGCCTGGATGCTCCACCAGGGAGCAGCGACACTGCCCGGCTGCTCGGCAGCACTGGGCGCCCTTCTCAAGACAGTCATCAAATCTTGAGCAGGTATTTTGAATACTAAATAATGCTGCTCAGTGTTTTTCCAACGAGATTCTAAAAATAAAATGGGAGTTGCTCAAAAGTGCGTTTCACTTTTTTTTTTTTTCGTTAAAAAAATTGTCTGCTGAGAAAACAAACCTTTTTCCGCTATCCTTCTTTGCAAACACACTTTTTTTTTTTTTTTTTTTTTTTTTTTTTTTTTTTTTTGTTGGTGGGATTATCTGTTCCTTTTCTTCTTTCTGTTTTT